AGAAATTACACCCAATTTGACTACACTGCACCAAAATATAACAAATAAATACACACGAGAACATCTAATATTCATATCCCTTCCAGGCACTTAAAGATATTCCTTTATTATATGATAAAAAGCAGATGTACAAATCAGGGCATCCATTTCACACCATCTCTACTTTTACAGCTCATTAATTATGGTACACTAACAGTAAATCAACATGTCAAGCACCTGCTTTACAAAGGAAAGGCATATCGCTGTACACCGTCCCATACCGGTCCTCTTTCAGAACAGAAGCCAACCCAAAAAAAACGACAAACGACTGAGAAAATAATAGCGGCTAACAACTAAAAGAATAAATGAAATAAAAATGATTAAAAACAGTATAAAAATGGGAAAACAGTGAGAGGAGAGATTATGACAAGAACAAAACCATATATATGAGACAAAACCGCTACATTATGCAGTGATCAAGCATAGGGAATGAAAGCTTTTAGATTTCGGGACTGCGCTAGTGTTTGACTGGCCATTCACATTAAAGTTAGGAGGCAAATTAAAGCAAGATGTTTGACTTTGGGTATATATGCCAGCATCGAGTTTCCTGTTTGTGGTGCGAATGTAAAACTCAAGTCATTCATTGTCAGAACAAACTATTACAGCTTTGAATCTTGCCTTGGAGACTTTTAACTGAATTGTGAGTAATGTAAGAATTAAGTTTATACACAGGCAGATGAGAATCGGCAAGCAGATGTTGGTAATGTTAGCACGCATTAGAATTTTTTTATTCGAGTGGATTCATGAAAACAAAACAAAAATTTCACAAGGAAGCAGGGTCAAGATATCTTTAAAGCACCGGAGAAAAACTGATGCTTGCCATTTTCAGTCTTATGAAATTTGAAATGGTTTATTTTCTTTCAATTCAAGAGTCTCGGTGGCAGAAGCTCACGAGCATTTCCTGTTGAAGATGCAGACGAGGCTGAGACAGGATCTTTTCATGTAACCATAACAGGGATCATCAAGCCCGTGAATATGGGAAGAATTGTCTCCTTATTCAGAGATACATGGAGAATGGGATTACTGTACTGGATTAAGATTAGAGTCACGGCCTACAAGTACAAACCAGCTCCTTCAATGCGCTCATTTCGTTTCTTACATCAACTTTATGATCTAAGTGCATGAACTACATGAAGCCTCACAGTGAATCGCAATCGTGTAGCAACTATTGGCCATTAGACGTAGACAGGGCATCACCTTTGGGAAGGTCAGAGACAATGAGATAAAGCCGTCCCTTTCTGAGTATCATCTCCATAAATTGCATTTCCATCATCATCATCACCGTCACCAATATTAGTCTAAATCGAGCTTGAATCAAGCTTGGGACCAGTGGTCTGAGTCCAATGCCATGAGCACAAAGTTGAGTCTCTTTCTCTCTCCTCTGGAGGCTCATTTGGTGAAAGCGGCCACCACAGCCCACAGCAGCTCGTTGGCGCCCGACTTGGCAGCTTCGACCTCAGGTTCCAGATCCAGCAGCATCCGCACCCTCTTCATGGCCAGATCGTACTGGTCGTCGAGTAGAGGAGCGAAGGCGTTCTCCAGGACGTCAGAGGAATGTGCCAGGAACAGCAGCGCTAGTATACGCTTATCCATCCGCTGGGGCTCGTTCACCCATTTCTCTAGAACGGCCTCCTGGACCTTGCGCACCAGCCGCTGCTTGACGGTGTTGTTGGTGAGCGGGTGGGTGGTCATGTCGAAGAGCAGGAAGTTTTGCTTCTCTGTGGTAAGGACACCCTTCTCCACCAAGTTCTTAGCCAAGCGCTCGCGCACGTTTCGTAACTGGTAGTGCAGCTTCAACGGATTCCAAGTTTCACCTGCAAAATAACAGTTATTTTAAAATGAAAATGAAGTCAACATGTAAAAAACCAAACCAAAATATAAAATAAACCAGTCATGTTCTTCTAGATCAGGGGTGCCCAAACTCTGTCCTGGAGGTAGTCCTGTGTAGTTCAGCTTCAATTTGCCTCAACACAGCTGCCAAGAAGTTTTTAGTATCTCAGACAGAGCTTGATTAGCTGGTTTATGTGTGTTTAATTGTGATTGAAGCTACAATCTGCCTGACACCAGCCCACAAGAACTGAGCTTGGGCTCCCCTGTTCTAGATATTCTACTGGCTTTTAACAATACTATTGTTTATAGTGTTGTCACAATACTGGAATTTCAGTACCAAATGATATTGACATTTTAAAACATTCAATTAAAAAACAACATTTCAGTACCTATTGTTACAGAAATTCTAGTATCGTGACAACACAAATTGTTTGTAGCATGTTTTAAATCAAGTGCAGAATCTTTTATTGCAATAAAAACCTTAAAAGTCAACTTGACATCAAAATTGTACTCTAGTTTTGTAAAATGCCAAATATTCATCTTAATTTTCTAGCTCGTCCAATTGCTGGGTGCATGGGTCCAGTAGCAAAAGTACAAAATGTTCATTAATTTTACCACTATTTTAGCATTTGCTGCCAACTTATTACATTTCGGTTTCTTTTCGGTGGATAAAACAAGCATCACATTTTAGGTCTTCCTTAAATACTGTGTTCACTTTGAAAGCATCAGATCACAAAGTAAAATGAATGCAAACACATCCACATCCAAACTTGCCAAAACAACTAAAAAACTCAAGTGGTGCTTGCTGCAGAGCGATTTGGGCAGAGCTGAGCTCCAGCGAGGGGGAGCTTGAACTCTCGCTCCTCCTTTCTTGCACTTCATCTACAAGTGATGTCACTGGGGGTAGGGTTAGGGGTGGGGTTGGTGTACGCATTAAAACAGCTTATAGGAGGATGAGTGAGAGCTCATGTTCCCCCTCGCTGGAGCTCAGCTCTGCTCAAATGGCTCTGCAGCGAGCACAGTCTCAAAAAACTTTGAACAAACTGTGAAGATCCTGAATTGGGATACTTTTCAAAATAAAAACCTTATTCAGATTTGAAAATGTAAACTCCCTTAGAAAAACAAAAATAATCTACATGTATGTCAGGCATGTTGATAACTCACCACTTAACAACTCAACCCAGCTCTGGACTGTCTCTGGAGGTTGAGTTTCTTTAACATGTTTCAGTGCCTCATCCAGCAGCATGTCTCCTGTTGGGGCATCCGATTTACACAATACCTGAAGAGAAAAAACAGGTTCAAAGAGTCAAGATCCAAATTTAATGTTATATTAGTGATCTAAACAGCACACATTTGCAGAACATCTCCAATAACAAAAACATTTACTATATCAAATGTAACACATCATGCATTTTGCTGCATGCACAATAAATATACACAACACTAAGAAAACTAAATACATGAAGCTTGCTTATTTTACACAAAAAAAAAACAATAACAGAACCAAATTACAATAAGAATAC